ACGGCCGTGGGGCTCTACGAGGGGCTGTGGATGAGCTGCGCCGCGCAGAGCACCGGGCAGCTCCAGTGCCGCCTCCACGACTCGCTGCTGGCGCTCGACGGTGCGTCCCGGCCGCGGGCGGGCATCGCCGCGGGGCTGAGCGCCACCGCCGTGGGGCTGGGCAGCCCCTCTGTGGGGCTGAGCACCCCTCTCTGCCCCATGCAGGGCTGATCCCTTCCTCTATGGGGCTGAGCCCAGCACCCACAGGGCTGAGCACCCCCATGGGACTGATCCCTGTTATGGGGCTGAGTGCTCTGTTATGGGGTTGACCCCCCCGCCCAAGACTTAACACCCTCCCATGTGGGGCTGGTTCCCCCCCGCTGTGGGGCTGAGCATCCCCTCCATGGGGCTGAGTGCCTTCCCCAAGGTCTGAATCCCTCCATGGGTCCAACCCTCCCTCCTATGGGTCCAAACTCCATGGTGGGGGACATCACAGTGAGGAAGAGCACGGTGGGGAGGCAGGACAGGCTTGAGAGCGGGGCTGAGCTGAGTGCGGGATGCAGCACCCTGCGAAACCTTGGGAGTTTTTCTCCTTTCCCAGCTTTTCCCCCCATTTTTCCCCTCAACCCTGCAGCCCACGTACAGACCTCCCGGGCCCTCATGGTGGTTTCCCTCCTGCTCGGCTTCTTCGGCCTCATCGTCAGCATCGTGGGTATGAAATGCACCAGGGTGGGTGAGGACGACCCCATCACCAAGGGCCGCGTGGCCGTCGCTGGCGGCATCCTCTTCATCCTCTCGGGTAAAACCCCAGCTTCTTGCCCTATTTCTTCCCTATTTCCTCCCCCAAAACACCCCAGAACGGGTGTTGCGGGACCCCGACGGGCTCCTTGTCCCTGCAGGGCTCTGCACGCTGGCTGCCGTCTCCCTCTACGCCGCCCGCGTCACCCACGAGTTCTTCAACCCCAGCACCCCTGTCAACGCCAGGTGAGCTCCCTCCTCTCTTTCCCCCCATTATTTTTTTCCAGAAAGAAAAAACCCAGAGCATTTTCTGGCCCCGATGCAGAAGGTGATGGAGGGGACGAATCAGCAGAACGGAGCTCACTTTTCTTTTTCCCCCCTTTCTCCCTGCCTCTTTTTTTTTTTTTTTTTTCTCCCTTTTTCCACCGGCCCTCGCAGCCCTCGACCGCCCGCGAGTACGTCTGAGCCGGCCCGTCCGTCCGTCCATCCGTCCGTCCACCCATCCATCCATCCGTCCATCCATCCGTCCGTCCATCCATCCATTCGTCCATCCGTCCGTCCGTCCGTCCATCCATCCATCCATCCATTCATCCATCCGTCCGTCCATCCATCCATCCATTCATCCATCCATCCATCCATCCGTCCATCCTGCTGGTGGCCATCCTCCCCCTTCCCACGACGCCCTTCTCCGAGTCCCCCATCCCGGCAGAGCTCCTGCTCCACCAGCACCGATTTCTCAGGGGCCTTTTCTGACTTCCCCAGGGACAACGGGAACCTCTAAACCGAGTTTTTTTCAACACGTTGATTTTTCCCAGGACCAGCCCGGAGCGGTGGGAAGCCCTCACGCAGCTCTGCTGGCTTGGGAAACACCCGGGTGGGTGAAAAACGGGACTCAGAGCTCAAATATCGGCTCACGTTACATCTCCAGCCTGTTTCAAGGTAACCCACTGGCGTGCAGAGCCTCAGCCAGGGCCAAACTTTAAAAACTATTCTCTTTTTCATTATTTTTTCCCTTTCCTTCTCAAAACCCCCCCTTCCCTCCACCAGGTCCCTCAAGCAAAGCCATTTCTGGTCACTACTAACTACTCCACTGGGCCCCCTATCCCTTATTTTCCAACCTGCTTTTATTTTCCAGGCTGCTTTTCCCTCCTTTTCCCCATTGATTTTTGATTTCACACCCCATATTAAAGCATATTCCCCCCCGATCCAGTCGGGGGGAGCCAGCCAGAAGGGGGTCCCCTTCCAAAAAATAACCCCCAGCCAGAAGGACCAGAAGGGGGATTAAAAAGAAAACATGTGATTTAAAAGGAAAATAATAAATCAGATTTTTTTTAATATATAGAGTGTTGTGTATAATGATAGATTTGTTCTTTTAATGCAAAAAAAAGCACAATTGAATTTTCCACGTGGTACAATCGGGGGGGAATCCGCACTGTTTTCCTTGGCGCCGGCGCTGCTGGCGAGGGACATTTTTGTAATGTCATCGGCGGGGAGGTTTCATCCTGGCCATCGCTTCCTCCCTGCGACATCCGAAACACCAGAAAATATTTGGTGTTGGATACACAGAAAGGAGGGGAAAGAAACCTCGGACAACTTGCTTGGAAAGGAACAGCAGGAGTTGGGGGGGAGAATCACTATTTTTTTTTCCCTAAAAAAAAAAGTAATAAATCTATTTCAACACCTCCCTGGGGTATTTATGGTCCCTTGTGAAGGGTCCCATCTTGCTCCCTCCCCAGGAATTTGGGAAAGCTGGAGCTGGGATTGCAGCCCATATATATCTAAATATGTATCTATGGTTCAACCATACAGCCCCGAGGATCCCAGGATGCGGGAGCTGTTGGCGAGGGGTCCTGGCCTGGGTGTTTTCCAAAGCAGCGGCAAAACCACTTCATTTTCCCCTAGAAATCCCCAAATTGATCAAGTCCCACAAAAACAACTGCTGGAGAGCGACGGCTTTCCACCTTAATGGGAAAAAAACAGGGGGAAAAATAATTTTAAAGGTCTTAATTATGGCCAGCACAGCCGGAGTCCAGCAGTCGGGGTGTCCGTCTTCGGTGTCCCAGCGTCTGGGGACATTCTGGCGGCGAAAGGACTTTTTTCTGAGGTTGAACTTGGTCTCCAACCGGCGGGCATCACGTTGTGGAGCACAAAATCCATCTGACAGCCCCTGCGAGGGCTTCGAGGAGCCCCACGGGTGCTGGGTTCCCACCTCCGTCAGGTGACTCCCGGTGTCGCTTGGGTCCCGAGCAAGAGCCCGTGTTGGTTCAGAGCCTTCAAGACACCTTCAAGTCAGCAGGAGGATTCACCCGATTGTCCCCTCTGGAGAAAACACGGATGAGGCTGATGCTGCCCTGGTGAAGGTAACGCTCCCGCGAGCCCCTTTTCATTGCTAGTGGGTCAAAGCTGTTTTGAGTTTGGGTGATGGAGAAGGTCCAGCCTTTCTGCAAGGTGGTTCACAGCAGATGTTATTTTTTGTTACTCCTTTTTTTTTCATGAAACTCATTTTATGGCCTATCTTTGCCCAAAATGCTCTTCCTGCATTGCTTTGCTGCCGGGAAATCCCAGCCCGGAGTCACTCCAAAGAGCGAGTTAATGAGTGTTGGCCAACCGGGATGCTCCGGTCATCCCATCCTGAGGTTGCCGAGGGTGAGAAACAGGGATGATTGGGAGCTGCCCTGATGCAGCAGCCCCGCAAGTGTTAAAACGAGGCTGTTTTGGAGTTATCCGAGTGCAAAGAAAGACGGAGCTTTTCCTTTGGAGACGGATTTTGTTTTTTTTTCTTGCTCACATAACTCAACTGGCTGAACAGATTTTCTTCAAAGCCTCCAAAACAGCCAGGGGTTGGCAGAGGAAAAAGGTTACGGAGAGTTAGCTCAGGAGGGGGCCTGAGAAATTAAAAAATACTGTAAATTGGGGCCCAAGAGGCTGCCTGGAAATCATGCAGGTGCTGCAGAGTGAGGCTGGTCAAGATGCTCCCAGATCAGATCCTTCGTGGGGGCCTCCTAAGAGTGGTAGCTGCTACTACAGGGGGCTGTGGAGCCAAATCTTGCTCTGGTGTTTACCCCCTTCACCCCATTATTTTTGTTTCTAACAACTGTGTCTCTTTAAAATCCAGTTTATGGGAACCTTTCTACCCAATGTGCTGCCACCATGTTGCAATCTGAGACGGTAAAAAAATGGTGATGCCAAGATTCAGGTTGCCAGGGATGGAGGCATCAAGACAGCTTAGGAGATGGGCTACCAAATCACAGGGTCTGGCCACAGCAGGAAAGGTGTTTTCC